TGATATTCAAATTCGTTTTTCTTTCCAAGAAAGCTAATGTCATATTGACAACCTAACTTCATTTTCAGCTCTGTTATCACTCTCAGACTGGAAGGACTCCAAATGCTTTTTATCAAAGCTCTCGATTGTAAAGTAATCAGAGCAGTAATAAATCTTCTTAACCATCAATGTCGATTCGACTAGCCAACACTTCTGAACGCTTTACATTTGAGCTAAATGGGGCGAAAACCTCATATATTTTGCTTACTTCCAGAATTATAAAGTGTAATTTCTCTGTAAATGCTCTACTTTTCTCAATTTATTATTATTATTTTAATTTTAGACTAATGAATTGAATTCTTAGACTAAAAAAAGAGACATTGAGCACTAGCAACACAGGCTATCGGCTCTTTCTCAATTTATGATACGTTTGAGCCGTTATCAATGAATGTTATAACTTTGCAATGCGCGTTTATGTAAACTGATATCAGTTTCAGTAGTTTTATCGTGCTTTACAATCGTTGGGATTACGTTATAATCACATTTGTTGTTACTAATAAGAGATGTGGAACTATCGCTGCTCTCGCCGTTATCTTTCCCCTCAAACAATAATCTGATGTCGCACTTGGAACAGAAGACCGAATGTTCCTCTCATCTTGCTCGCCATCGAGTTATGTCTTGCACGAAAGCAACAAAAAACAAATGCACTACCCTCGTTTACTGATAAAATACAAAATCCCTCACGGTGGTATAAATGGTGTTTATATTGGCAATTAGTAGATCTTAATTTGTTATCTTTGATAATAATGGCATTTGTATGTTACATCGTTTGCTCTTCTTTAGTTTGTTCAGTTGTATAGTTTCACAGCTTATTGCGACAAGACGATTTATTTGACGTGTAAAGAAATTTCAAGGTAGCTATTATCTGGTTATATTAAAAAAACTTTTACTTTTTCTTCGGCTGTATCCTTTATTGACTTATGCAAACATAATAAATTCTCCAAGTTGATGCAAACGTATGCATCTGCCATTTATTTCCAGTATCTGCAGCAAATTCCTGGATTTCTTAAACTCTTCGTAGCTAAGGAGTTTGAGATACTGGCACTCGTTACAAGGTTAAGCATTGATGCTGAGAACACCGAAATAGTTTTGCGTGGATGGTGAAATGAGCGCGAACCATATTACATCGGCATTGCGAAGCAATTCTGTGGCAATGAAAAACATGTCGAATACGATGATACTGCCTTGCGTCAATTAAAGGCATAATAAAAGATTTCACAGCAGCAACCGGAAAAGCTACTAAGAACACTTTTATGCAACCATTAACAATCATTAAACGTAGTAAAATTGATGATAGAGGTGTTTTAATTAAAAATTTATTAATACAAGGTATAAAGAGAAAAGGAATGTAAACTTTACTGTTTACCTGACCGCATAGATAATGTGGCAGCTAACATTAAATATCCGTAAATAAAACTATTAGAGCTGTATTCATAGTCTCATGTCGGATTGCTAAGCATTCAATTTGCAATACATGTGGTTACGCATAACATTCCCTCTTATTCAAAGGTGTAATTATATATCGGAACTGCGGTTTATGTTTTCGGTTGAAGCGTTTAGCACTGGTTATTGCTATAGGCTTTTTAGGGTTACGTAAGCAAACCAGCTGATGAACACATTCTCTCCCATTTGTGAAAAGCAAAATAGCTTACGTTTGGCATTAGTATTGTTGAGAGTTACACTTATAAAATAAAACGGCCGTATATTGAAAACAAAGAAAACTGCAAACAAAACAAAAAATTAAAACGAACCGGAAAATTATAAGAAAAAAGAATTTGAGCAAAAAAAAAAAATTTTTTTTAATGAGTATACAAGCCGCATTCCTCGTTGCTTAGTTTATTTAATCTTAACAAACCCAAACAAACAATTTTAATTTGTGAATGGTAAAGCATGTTTTGTCAAATATTAATGCGTAATCGTTTTATGTTGATCAATACATAAGTATTAGACAGAATGCTTCGACACATTATTTATTTGTGTATATTATACGTATAAATAATACACGTATAAGAATAAAAAAAATTGAAGTTATTATCAGCTTCAGTACCTTGGCATTGAACGTCCCCGATTTTCTTCTAATAATTAAGTTTGCTCCATTAATAATTATTAGATGGACTTTTGAAAGGAAGTTTTATTATCAATTTGTTTCTGGAGTAAATCTCGATCGCCAAACGTTGCCTTCTTTCCAACTGAACTCAACAAAAAGGAAAATATTAAATCTTTAAAATAATAAGTCGCACGCACTTACTTTCGTTTCTTAACTGTACTTGGCATATCGTCCTCAGGTGACACATCGAGTATAGGAGTTTGTAAACATATAAAATGCAATTAAAAACAAATAGAAACCCACTATGCTACACTATCGATAGAGACATATGCACCACTATCCAAAGATTTGATGGGTGCGCCAAATTTTAGTACTTTTCTTTAGGATGGTTTGCAATGAAAGTCAGCAGTTCACATAATTGTTCTTTGGAATATAACCATTCAATCACAACCACTGAATATTAAAAAAAATTAATGCAAACATAAAAAAAATACTTACTTTTTCCCTTTATTATAAATCTATTATATAACATTATTTGCCTTCATTACATAATAAAAATGATGCTAAAAAATCGTTCGTGATTTGATGTACAGTTATTATTTATGTTTTTCGATTATTTCTTTCGTAAATAGCTAAACTAAAAGCAATAACAACTTAAGCAGAAGTTACAAATTCTTCTCAATAAACTAGAACATAAAAGCTTTTTAAGCCAAAATAAGACGGCACAAAATATTGTCAACAAAGTTATATTTAAAGCCTTCTCTGCACATTAGATTAAACTCTTCTTTCTTTCGTAATCATTATTTGATTCAACGTCTTCGGTTTGCAAATTTTTAAATGTAGCCGTCGGAACATAAGCAATCAATGTATATCAGCCCCAAGAAGAATCCTTATCATCATTATACCGTCGACCAAAACGCACGCGAACGCGCAAAGGCGTAGACCGATTGTTTTAAGAAATAATACAATTGGCAGCTGCGTCAATTTGAAGAGTGCACTAAAGCTTATTTTAATTACATTTTTCTTTTATAATTAATTGAAAAAATTTAATACTTATGCAGTTTTTTCTACTTTATGTAAATTTTACCTCTTTTCCTATTTTGCAAAAATTATATCAAATATGTGAGTAAAGGGTATAAACAATTTTTTAAAATTGTTCTTTGACTCGATAGTTGGTTGATTTGTTTATCTATCAGAAAAGATAATCAGTAGTTTTTTTTGGGGTTTGTTAGCTGCAATTTAAATAAAAAAAAATTAGCTCCTCATTTCTGCTTTTCCATTTACTTATGAATGATTGCATCGAAATTGACGCGATATTCTTACGCGACCGAACGTCTATCAATTGTCGGATTAGTCACGAATAAAAGTTTGCTCTCAGATACGTGATCTCGATCTCAATCCCTGCATCTCTTTTCAAAGACATTTTTCTCCATGAAATTGATACTTGTATATAAACAAGCAACACAAATATGTCATAAGTATATCGATGGAAAATGATAACACATCATTCATCAATATACACTTATTTACAATATGATTTCGTATATAAAGATACATCAAATTGCAAATAAAATACCGAAAATTAACTGATTTATTCAAAAAAGTATGCCTTTACTTAAGGTCTAATGAAGTAGCTGCCCTTGGAGAATATATATTGTAATAAAAAAAGTGATTTGTGCGGTATTAATGATTTATGTAGTATGGATAATGTTTTGGTTTATCCTTCTTATTTGGTGTACCACGGTTTAGCCCTATGCTGCTCGGCTTCTGCGCGCCAAGTCTAGCCGTCTTATTTAGTGCCAATGTAGCTCGGCAAGAGACGTTCCCTAACTATAAGCTTTATGCTTCGGGCGGATTTAACGCCTTTAATAAAATAGCCAATTGATACGCTTTATTGAATTGATTGATAACAATTAATTTTATTCAATTCTTACCTGGCTATTTATACAGAAATTATTACACTAAATTATTCTAACGTAAACAGATAGTAATTGTTTTGATTAGGGCGCGTGGCATCGTATTGCATTACGAAATGCAATACCCAGCCAGTTGAAGTACGACAAAATTTTTGTTTTACTTTTTTTTTTTGTTACAGAATTATGCAAACTTAGCATAAGTATAATAACTCGCACTTCAAAGTGGATGCATGCGACGGTATGCGATCACACTACAATATATATATATATATACATATATATATATATACATATATATATATATATGCAAGTACCAGACTTTTGATATAAAGCCGTTAAATAAAGGAAGACAAGCATTTGTATAACAGTAACAAATTTGCAAAAGCAAAACTATTTTGTACATTTTGTTGAGTTATTCAATTTTTTCCTTTTTGATTCCATTTTAAGATTTGAAAGGCAGGGGACTGAATAAGATTTGCTAAGGCTTTGAACCAAAAGAAATAGCTTTCTATGCGCCCGACTCAGTTTTATGCTACAATAATACTACGTGTACATAATAGAACAACGGATATCTTACAATAATTTGCAAATAGAGCTACGTTCACTAATATTTCCTTAACATTCAATTTTTATTAAGATTTAAGTGGGTTATTTCCGCAAGTGAGCCGCGTAATGCATTTTTGGGTACATCTTGAGTCGAGAATTTAGATTAGAAGGACTTCAAAAGAAAATTCAATTCCAATTTTTATTAGAAAGTTAACTCGTTTGGCTTCTAAACTATGTTAACAAAACAACTTGTATAAGACGTTATACAGGAATATTATATATATATAAAGAGGCATATAGGGTTTCGCATAAAAACATAGGAATAGAAGAAGTTCTCGTATGTGAGTTGGGATCATATGCCATTTAAAAGTAAACGCGTAACCTTATGCACACAGTGTTCTCAAAATCACTTGCTATGTAAAAAGTACGGGATTAAAATAAATAATTCATTGTTATGAGGTGAATATATATTTGATTATTTATTAACAAAGAAACCAGCATTTGAATTGTTGGTCGGGTTCATGATGTTTGCAGAATTTCCAGGTTGTTGATTTCGCGTAGACGTTGCATATAGCTGCTGCTGAAAAGTATGATATTGCTGAGCATACTTTAGATCATTCGAAGTTGGTCCTACGAAAGACTTATAGTTGATGCTGCCACTAGAACATCCGGCAGGCATAATATTTCCGTTAACATTTAATGGATTCGGAAGTATATTGTTGCTGGGTCCTGGTCCTATTAGAACTGTCGCCTGCAAAGATCTCGATTGTGTTTGATCATTAGTAAGAATGTTATTGTTTGGTACCGCATTATTACTGACGCCTGCGTTTACGGCATTTAAAGCCATACTTTTGTTCGGCTTTTGCTGATACATTTGAAGCTGCCCCCCGCCAGAGGCCGCGCTATTGAACATGGATGGTGACGATTCGCTTATATCCATTGACTCTGGATCGTTACCAGAAAATGGACTTAAAGCGTTAGAACCTGTTGAAGTTATATTGGGCATTCCCGGAAGTTGCATTCGCGGTCCAGCTAACCCACCACCTTGAGCCATACTAGGCTGACGCATCGGTCTCATACCTCTCAAAACATTTCCATGTTGGTTTAGATTCAAGTCATGGGGAGAAAGTAGGCCACCAGTGCTTTGTAATTCATCTTGTTCAACCATACCTACAGAATTTATTTGGTTGCAATTGCCGTAAAAATTCATTTGTTGCATATTTGTTCCTAAGCCATTCGAGGCATTAGCCACTTTGCCTATGTCGTTTGCTGCATTCATTTGGGTTATGTGACTTGAACTATCTAGGACACCAACTCCCGACAGACTACCAGCTGGCCCTATTAGTTGTGGGTTGGTATAACGTAAAAACTCCAAACTTGGTGTTGCACGCATAGTGTTATTGTTATTATTTTGCGGTCGGACTGGCATGTATTGTATTGTGTTCGGAGTACTAGCTTTAACTTGGATATTAGGCGAAACGTTAAAATTGGCGAAATTTGTCGAGATTCGATGGTTTACCATACGATGTGTAGACATCATACCCGAAAATGGAGCTGAGCTCTCCCGCATACTGGTATTGACAGAAGTGAAAGTTGCGACGTTAGCATTGCCACACATTTTCGGACTCATTAGGCGTTGTCCCATTGGCCCTATCATATGACAATTGCTCGGACCAAACGATACGGAGGAACTACCAACAATACCCATATTTCCGCCGGCCGAGTTGCAATGTTCTGATATTGATGGATCTAATGAACTCATGAGACTGTCCATATTCATATTAGTGGACGGACTCATATCATTTACAGCGCTACCAGTGCCTAACGCCCCAATACTGCCGGGTGTACTCGCCATGTTAACGCCTACACCTAGTTGCTGCGACATTTGAGCCAGCGATGTAATTGGGTCAAAAGAGTTAGTCATCTTGCTTTGACCTGTCCTGTTATTGTTTGGATTCAACGGCATATTATCAGGTCGGCGGCTAAAATGTGACGACATTTGGCCTGTCATGTTTTGCCGCTAAAAAATGTATAAAGAAAAAATCCGCAAGATAAAGAAAAAAATATCGGAATGTGGTTAAAGTAGCTTACGTCCAAAACTCCTGATTGGTTTTTAAATGGGTTTGAAGATCCTCCGTTAATACCGTTTGCAAAATTTTGCCCTGGGCTTGAAAATCGGGGTTCCAGGTTTGATATTTCGACAAGTCCGCCAGTATTGCTCGCCATCAGTAGAGGACTTCTCGATCTCTGAGGACTGGGTCTTGTCGATTTCTGGTCTACTCACAAATAATAAGGAATACAAATAAAAATATAAATACATATTAAATAAATGTTTACTATCATCACGTATTTTAATTAACCTCAGAACGAGCACATTATAACGTAAAATACACAGTTTGTGATATGGGCCTTGAAACATAAATAAAGGTAGTTTAAGCAAAACAAAAGGAGTAAAGAGGAGAATCCTATATTTCCCTCTCTCCTCTTCAATTTTAAACGATAATTTTATTTATTTTACTTTAAAAACAAAAAATTTTATTAACTTTCCGTTCACTGCTTTACACCCCCTTCATTTCGTTTTCACTTTCCAGAATCTACTGCAGTTCATCACCTTTAGAGTTCGACATTTCACCACTTACACTAAAAAACCGTGAATATTTTGCATCAATTGCCATTGTACACATACGAGAACCCAATAAAGTCCGCATACAGTACGAAAAACTGCACTTTTGTTGGTCAAAAAATATATTTCTTAACATATAGAAATTTATATTAAATAACAATTCAAGTTTCATATGGTAGCAAAGTTCAATGTAATAAAGATTTATTTTATAATTTGAAAATTGATTAAAAATGGCGATTGAAGGTAAATTTAATAACTTCCTAAAAATATCGAGAACCATTGTAGTGCGACAAATTTCATTAAAATATCTAGGAAATTGTGACCTGTGCGTAGACTTCAGAAATATGTGGTCACATATGCCGACTGTAGCTAGGAGCAATAGACTTTCCGCACAAAAATTGTGATATTTTATCAATGTGTACGTACCTGTTGCAGAAGTATTTATATTGGATGTATCTAAATCCTTCGGAGACACATGTGACAGTGACAGTGGTGTACTAGGGTTACTATTTAATGAGTTTGTGGTGTTACGACCCCTTGTGGAAAGTCCAGCAGCTGCGCTTTGATTTATAGCAGAGGGAGAGCCCTCTTGGGAGTAACTAATTTTTGGTTGTAGGCTAGTATTAGCACTGTTTGATGTTGCGCCCGTTGTTGTACATGTGGATGTAGCAGGGGTAGCAGCTACAGACGATGCGGATACGTCCATGTTGGGTGAATTTGTTGGAACTCCCATGACACCACCTGATATTCGTGGAGACGGCAATGATAGATTCGATGTGGGATTGTGAGGACTCGATGGTGATTGAGATGTAATAGGTACTGAGGCAGGACGCTGAGTGCAATGATAAGGAGGTGGAGGACCAGGACGATTATTTTGTGCGTTAGTTGACATACATGCAGTCGTTGTATTCGGCCGTGAAGTCAAGTTCATGCTAACTGGATTGGCACGAGTTGATGGATTTGATAGTGCATTACAAGTTAAATCAGGCACGTTCCCCTTCAGTCGTTCTTCGTAGAAGGGTTGCTGTAATTTACTCCATTCAATTTGCGCTATAGAGCCTGCTTGAACCATTTCCGAATGAGCGTTAGCCATGTGTTTGTTAGTGTCGTTAACTGATGGAAAATTCTGCCCGAAACTTGTCAATAGATCGCTATTGTTGGGCATACCTCCTCCGTTGGGATCGTTAATATCATTGGCACTCACCGAACACACCATAGAATTATTAACAATGTTAGATGCAGAGCTACCTGTAATAATTGGTACCGAATTTTTTTTTATCATATTACCAGTTGTCATGCTGATTGGTGGATTAGCTGGTATGGAACTACCTGACATATTGGTTATCATGTTAATATTTGAATTCATTGAACTTAGAATGCTGTCCATATTAGAATGATTGTTCATTTGCATATTCTTTGGGCCCTTACTTGGACCACTACAACCTGTTATAATTGGCACATCACCAGCATTAATCATGTCGGATGGTAATAGCACATCTTGACCCAAACCGGTTATAGCATCCGAATTACAATTAGTGACTTTTCCATGAGTTATCATATTTGATTGCACGCCACGAACCGTGGGACCTATTTTATTACCTAATTGACCAGTAGAACCGGATAATGCCAGCATTGAGTTTGCCGACAAATTTCCTGTTGCAGCGTCCACCGAAACTTTTCCTAATTGGCTTCCTGTCATGTCAGCACGAAACTCATTACTACCATTTTCAGGAAATAAAAACTGATTCATTTTTTTCAATTTAGCTAGTTGCTCTTCCCGATGTTGCCTTTGTTGCGGTGTTAAATTTTCATCTGGAACTTTTACCCCTTGCAAAGACGGTATAGCGTTGTTGTCAACTTCTGATGAACCCAATTTACTACCAGCATCGACGTTATCCAAAATTTTTATAGCATTGTTCTCTGTAGATGTATCTATTCCACTACTTCGATTTTGTTCCCAACATAGTACGTCATTTTCATCGCCAGTAAGGGCATTCATTTCTAAATGTATATAGTTTTTAAACATTAAAATAAAAAAAAAATTTAAACAAGATATACCTGATTTGTGCGGCATTTTTGTTATAGTATTTAACCAAGATTGAGTTCCGACACCTATACCTCCACTTGACATATTACATATATTCAAAGTATTTTGTCGCTGAAGTTTTGTCATTTTCATCGAATTCTTAAGAAAGAAATCTTCCAGGAAACTCTTTGTAGCTGGCTGTGTGCAATGATATGCAATTATAGTAGGACACAGTCCGGTAAGAACTGCTTCAGCACCTTTATTAGCCAACTGCGTCGAGAAAACGAATATATGATTTTGCTGCTGCATGTAGTCAAGGCAACTGCCACCCATCATACTGCTGCCACTAGTATTCGTATTTGCGTTATAGGTGTGAATAGAGTTATGCGACATTGGCGTTGTTGGTGCATTGTTTATCACAACTGATTCGGAACAATAATCATTAGCTTTGGTAACTAACGAATGTGAGTTCGCATTTGAAATTGGTAAAATTTCAAGTCCACCTGCATTTGCATTATTGGCAGAGCAATCGTTATCATCACCACAACCCGCGTTCGATAAATTTATCATTTTGTCAGAAATACTATTATTTGCAGCAGATTCATTTATTTGAGCTAAAATGAGCACATTCCAAATTAAATGAAAACTGCAAGTTATTAAAAGCAACGTAAATGTGAACATGCTAAAAATTTTTTTGCAGAATTTGTAGCAAATTGTAGAGGTTCGAGCATTTTTTTGAATGTGCGAAACTATTATTAATTTGCATATAATTTGAATCATACAAGTTATAATTCTTCCTGTTACGCTCCAAGGAGGTTGCATTTAATATCGTTTCGCGATTCATCAATTTAGTATAAGCTTGTGGATTGAAAGGCATTGCTAGTTTCATATTCGTATATACTGATAAGTAAATTAGTAATGTAACAGTTTTAAAACTTATATCATCATTTCGTCAATTTCTAGATAAAAAACCGCCTCGGCGAATGGACTATTTACAGTCTGATGTCCTTTGCATCATTTGTAAAGAAAATATTGCCTTCTCTAAAGTAGTGAAAATTAACATTATTCCATGCCTATATACATCGACGGAGTTGTTGGGACTATCAACTACCGTGCTCTAATTTCTATAAAAACGCGAACGTATTGTTCTTGTTGATGAGGTTCAGAACTCCAGTGTTGAAATTAATACGACCACACGTTTTCTACAGTTTTTAAAATTGAAAAATAATATTTCTACTTCCTTCCGTTAATTAAAAATGTATACAATTTGCAGAACTCGATGAAAATTTATAATCTGTTTTGTTTCGTCATATCCGCGTTTTTTTTATTATGTTAATGTTTAGGTAAAAAATGCCAATTTTTTTTAGATATAAATTTTCATTTTAACAATCATTTATAAGTGCATCAGACCAGATCGCAAATCGTACTGGTCCGATACCGAAAAAAATCTTTCAAAGTCAATAATTTCCGCGACTTATCAACACACATTATCTCTAAAAAAATATTATTTCTAGAAAGTGACAACCAACGCCTATCAAAATTTCGTATTATCTTGATCATTTGTTTATAAGTTATAGCAGATTAAGCAATGCTTCTCGCATATCTTCCAACCAATGAAAAAATGCGTATGTTGCGGTTAAACATCACTTGTTTTTATGGAGGAAATACCACTTAAACTCAGTATTGGCTTGAAAAATGTTGCGGCATCTTTTTTGCGTTGAGAACAATCTGTCAATGGATCCCTGTTTTTAAATAAAGATTCCACAAATTTTTCTTGATAATCGAAAAGTGAAACTGGAATAAGTCTCTGACATCCTGAAGATAGTAAAGAGTAGCACACTCTACGTTTTGGATGAAAATTTGAGGACGAGAGTCCGATTTTACTCACTGCGAAACAAGAAGTTTGAGTTAATGGTAGTAAATTTTACGAATTGTATTCTGCAACCCTCATACGTAGCAACACGTAGCAGTATTTATGTAAGTCTACATGGAGAAAGGATGCCCCAGGAAGAGAGGAAAAAGGTGTGAGTCGAATAATGGAGTCATCGCAGAAGCTGGAGCGTATCTTAGGGGTTTGGACAAATTTGTGGAAAGGCAAAAAGGAAAACTTTAGAGAAGTGTGATTTATTACTATTGAAGAAGACTGACTTGATGAATAAACCCAAATTTTTCAGAAAGCAATTATTTTCACATTTAATCCCAGGCATTATTGATTGATGTATTGTATATACATACATATAATATATATATGAATATATATATATGTGAATATATATTATTTAATGTAGATGTCTCAAAGTCACAAAAAATTTTTCACTATTAACAGACACTGTTGAGGCCACTTACAGGAAAGTGATGTTCCAGAATTTTCCAAAAGGGACGCATTATGATTAACGTTTCCTATAGAACCAAAACCGACTGGTGACATGTTGTTCTCTTCTTTTTTAATGGCGACTCCCTTTTCTTCTTCAGCCGAAGCGATACTTTTAATTCCAGCAGTTGTTGAGGACGAGGACGACGAAAAACTTGTATTAGAGCCTGAGCTTGAAATAGAGCTCGAACTGGAAATGGAGCCGTTAGATTTTTCTGCAAATTAAAATTGATGAAAATAACAAGATAGTAATTCTAAAGCTTCACCACAAAAATTGAATTTAACAGATAAGTAAGCTTCTGGTAGAAAAGGAGTCCGTAAAAAACTTCTCAATACGGATAACTTGGCATTGAATACGTTTACATGACTAAGCATTTCTTTTCAACAGGATATTATCGATTTTGGTTTAATAATAGGTTATTTATTAGTATTGCAAATTTTGCAAATGCCAATTTGAATAATAATCATTCATTTCTTTGTTTTGTCCCAAAAATAAAAGCTATAGTTGTTAGGAAGAAAATTAGAAGTTAGTAGTTAGAAATTCGTTATTATTTTTCTTATTCCGGTACTTTAACAAATACTCATTTCAAATGCTTGAAGTATCCGTAAAAAAAGATGGATAAATAAATATTGGAACCTGCCAAATTGACGGGTTTGTGATTTCCACCTCAAATATTCTGCATAAGGCAGTAGATATCTTCAGTTATTATGAATGCGTTTTTAATGATTTACTGCAGCAAATATATATCCACTTTTTTCTTGGGCACGTTCACTTTGCAATTTTCAGATGTGGTACACCTATTTCTACTGAAAGCCGTCCGATCGACGAGCATATTTGTGAATCGTCACACTCGCGGAAATAAAGCTTGTTAGTTAAAATTCGGCCACTGCCTGATCGTTTTGAAATAAGTGGATAAAAAATGGATGAGATTTATTCACGTACACGCCCACAGTCTAGAAAAAGCAAAAACAACCTTGAGAAACTCGAAAAACTTTTTCCAATTTTGTTTATAACTTTCGGAACCGAAAACATCGAAAACTGGCACCTAAGTATTTGCCAAAACAACCATCATGTGCGGTACTAAAATGTTCTCGATCGATTTAGTAATACGTCCGTAATTTAAGATTAAATAGGTAGGCTACAATTTATATAATTCATTTAATTCTTTTTGACGCTGTCATTTTTGGCATTTTCTAAAGTTTTATATATATATATAAATAATATATAAATATGAATAATGTATATGCAAATTTAAATAACATATATAACATATATATATACTAGTCACTATTTATATTTATAATAATTAATATTAAACAATAAAATTTAGTAGAAAAGACATCTATTTGTAGTTTGAATTTTTCCTATTATTTGATAAGATCCATTAAAACATCGAAAATAATAATTTCAGCTTTTTAATTATATCCTTCCGGGTGTGACAATTCACAAAAATTACTCGTCTAATTGACCGATTTCAATAAAAATAGATATAAGCAAAAGGTCTGTAAATTTAGTAATGAATGATTTAAAGTAATATTTTTATACATTTGAGACTGAGTAATGTACTTATAATATAACTCTCGTATACATCTCGTTGACTGACCTATAATTGCGTTTTAGTAAATTTTTTAGGGGAAGGCAAACTAGTAGGATAACAGAATCATCAAATATGCAAGTATTTTGGGCTACTCTACACCCCATAAATAGTGCGCTAGAATATTGTTTTGAGCTTTGAATTCGTAAATAATTAAAAAAAGGCGTTTGTGGGATATTAAATTGCTGCTGAATCGTAGCATATGATAACAAGCTGTAAAAATCAGAAGAATAGAAAGACCTGATGCAGGAGTGTATGCGAGATATCAAGCTAAGTGTAAGTACAAAAAACTTTTGGTTTTTCTTTATTCGTTACTCTTGTTGAAAAAATTTAGATTAGAATTTATTTATATTTAATATTCAATAGACAAAAATTTTTCTTTACAGATGTTAAAATTTGGAATGAATGAAAAAATAATTTTCCTATTGACATTACAGTATTATAAAAGTTTTTATAATACAGAGTTGTTATATATACAAAGCGTTTTGTCAGTGACGATGAAATACATAGATGTTCCAACATTTTGTTTAAAACTGAAATTGGGAGATTCTTAGGCGTATCTCTCATTAATAACAGTAGTAACGCTTTTGCTTAGCAGCTATATGCATGCTTGCTCTTTCATTCTCATTATTTGCATGGGCAGGTGTTCTATTAATAGTCTCTTGATATGACGTTTTGTCACTTGTATGCATACCATAGCCTATATTCACTTCAAAACATAGAAATGGGTATGTTGCAAAGAAGAAAAACAAGGAAAACAATGAAATTAGGAAAATACAAAAGCAAATTGGCCTAAACGAAAAGCTTATAAACTTTTGTGGTTTCGTACTTAACATTTGTGCGCAGTATATAGTTCCTCATTTTGGAGTAACTGCTACAAATAAAAGTAAGTCAGATAAGACCGCTTTGGAACTTAAATTATATATGTACTACTTGTGTTTATAGTTTATAAAATTAATCAAATGTGCTAAGGAAAACAGTAATGAACAAATAAAGCACTTACCACGATCTTCTTCCTTAATAGTACCCTTTTTTTCGTCATCATTTCCATTGTTATCAAGAATAGGTTGAGGTGTGCTGCTGCTATTTGAATGATCGCTGCCGCTATTATTGGGAGAAGATTCATTATATTGAATTGAGCAACTGTTAATATTGGCTGAGCTCTTTCTGAGCAAAGACCCTGATGAAATATTAGACGAAGATTCTCGTTCATGACTGGTATTGTTATTAGATTTCTTGATAATTGGATGATCATCTAAAGTTGTATGTTGACTGTTATTGCTTTCTGCAATAAGTAATAACGATACAAAAGTAGAGGTTTGATAAAAAAAATACGCAACTTAAAATTAATAAAAGTAGGAATTACAGGGACTCGTGCCTAGCTGCTGTGATTTAATCACATATAATACTGAGATATTTCATAGTGGCGCATTAAGGAAAGTGAGCTTCTGAGATTTTTTAACGTGAAATTTGGAATTGTGATGGAACTAAAGCAATTAAGAATGTTCTATTGAGCCATCCATTGCTTATTTAAAATAAAAAAAGAATGGTAAGAAGGCTTACGCTCCTTCCCGTAAGTTGAACACTTCCACTCAGTAAAATCTGTGAAATATTATTATTATTATTATCATTATTATTACAATTTTAGACTAATGAAATAAATTCTTAGACTAAGAAATCTAAAACTATATAGGCTCTAATTTATAAAAATGTACATTAGATATTGAGCCTAATAGTTTTAATAAAGTAATATATTGAATTGATATTCTATTCTAAATCTGATTTTAGAATGAGCAAAGGGTTAATCGCTCCAGATGCAATACTTCTAGGCAAGCAAAAGTTAACGCAGTCGCAGAGAATATACTTTATAGTGAAAGTTTGTCCACGATTGCAGATTGGGGAGAAAGACTTCTTCAAGATCCATTGGTGAGTTGTAATTGTATGACCAAGGCGAATTCTCGAAAATGTTTGGATCTTCATTTTCTCAACATCAGTTGGATATAACGGTGGAGTTAATTGAGGGTTAATGGAAGAGTAGTGTTGATAATGGTATTTTAAATTTTCTTCTGCAATTTTCTCTTTAACTTTTTTTCCAATGTATCTTTGAAGATCCAACTTTTCCATGATATCATCCATAATTAGAGGAGCAGAAGCAGCATCCTTTGTCGCTCGATCAGCCTGCTCATTTCCCAATAAACCGATGTGACTTGGTACCCATAACATTTTAATTTTTCCCTCGGGTGTTGTAATTATATTCCCTAATGGGTTGATGGTGCTCCATCTCGAAGTCGAAGAATTCCGAATAGCTTGTAATACAGACAAACTGTCGGTGACAATGACAGTTTTGAGTTTATTTTTATGGGCAAGGTTCGCAGCGTGAAGGATAGCTCTGGCTTCGGTTGTGAAGTACGTTTTGAAGTACGTTCGTGAAATATGTGGTTGAGAAGAACTCGTTCTGTAGCATCAACCACGGCACAAGCTGGAGGCCGACCAGAAGATTTAGAGCCGTCTGTGTAAAAAAGATTCCAACCAGTACTCTCCAATACTTGGGTTTCTTCAGCTATTAGATTCCTCTAGTAGTCTTTCAAAATCCATGGAGGTTTAACACAAAAAGAGCGAAAATATTTTAAGGGAATGTCTAATTCTTTTGCGACGTACAAACAATAGTAAATTCCATATGGTGACTTTTGAATTTTCTTCGCAATAATAATCTTTCTCACATCATCACCGAGAATAGATTTGTATGAATTAAGAAGCTTGGGGATTATTTTAGCTTTTAACTCATACGGACTATTTTCTTAAGTTGGGAGATTAGTTTCAATTATAATATTATTTATGGGTGTCCGAAAAGCATAACAATTTGCTCTGAGGGCTTGCAATGTACTGTATGAAATTCACCTTGGTTAAAATAGAAGTTTTTAAAGGAAGCCAGTCTGTTTTCCAACGACATTTGCTGGAAAATGTGAGCCGTAGAACATTGAGCGTGTGCACACTTTGTACTGGTAAATCATTATATGCATCAGTTGATTTCCTGCATCACATATCTGCTTTCGACAAATGTGTACTTATTTTGATTTTTGTATGGAAATTTTAGCCTCTGCCGAGTTTGCCCATGCGGAGATCTCTCGTCGAGGATGTTGATTGCCTTCGTGCTATCTTTTTCTTTTGTTAAAATGTATACATCGTCCGCGTAGAGACAATGTTCCACTCTTGGTACACGGCAAAGAATTTTGCTAATTTCGTTGAAGGCACTCTGGAAAAGCGTGACACAAAGAGGAGATCCTTGCGGAATGCCATTCATTAGCGGAAAGGAATCAGAGCAATGATTGTTGATTCTAACTTTGAGCCCCCGATTCGACATGAATGATTTGATATATTTGAAGAATTTGGGTCCAACATTCCATGATTTCGAGAGTTAAAATAACATGAAGACCAACTATGTCAAATGCTTTTTCGAAATCAATTGAGAGAATTGTTACATGATTTCGTTTGGAAATTGCTTTGCTTGCAAAATCATCAATATGTTAAAGAGCGTCGATGCACCCTCTACCCCGCTTGAAACCAACTTGTTGCTTTGTTGTCAGTTTCTTGAACTCAAGAAACCAAGATAACATAGATGCCATAATCTTTTTCAATACCTTTGAGATGCAAGATAAAAGAGAGATGGGGCGATAACCCAATGCGGTGGAGACATTTTTCGGCTTTGGAATTGGAGCAACTGCTGCCAGTTTCCACGTGCAAGATATATAGACCAGGTGTCCTCTCCTTCGATTTGAAGAGACAACTTTCAAATTCTAAGGTAGATAAACAATATCCCAGGAAGGTGGCACAACTGTTAACACAATTTGAAAGATATATTGGAGTCCTTTTATTTTCGATGAAACCACTGGACAAGTTGCTGTCATAGAAGTATTCGCACCACACTTTCCCAAGGTAATTAGAAATCTCATCTGCGTCAGGTAAAGCTGGGAGTGCAGATGGCAGAAATTTGGTTCAGATTTGAAGTCTGTTTAGAGTAATTGATCCAATCCGCTTTATCTAGAAGGAATTTGGCTTGTTTTACTGGAGTAACAGAGGACTTTGAAAGTTTGAGATCGATTATGATGGGAACGTAATCACTATTATGTAGATCATCAGAAATAGACCAGGAAACCAAAGGAAGAAGTGTGGTGAGTTGAAAAGTGCGCTGGTTTTCCATCATTTAATATGAAGAGATTGCTTTAAATGACGGCATTTTGTAAAACGGTATTACGACTGTAGTTCACTGTTAAGCATCAGATATTATTCCAGCTATTAAAGTCGCCGAAGATGATTAATGGGGGGGAAAGTACAGAGAATAAATTGTAGAATTCTAGTTGGAAAAACGATTGCGAGGTGGGATATTGAGCGAAAGCACTGTAAATTTTATGTTTAACATTATTTGTATCGCTACGGCTTGTATGTTTGAGCTAAAATTTATACGTTTGTGAGGTATATTTGATTTTATAAAAACACCTACTCCTTGTTTGGAATATGAATTTTGATCAGGATTAGTGAAGTGTCCAGAATATGATTTGGGTGGAATAGGATTAAAAGAGCTTCTACAATGGGTCTCTTTAAGCGATAAAAAGGTTGGATTAAAATTACTAATGAGTGTACGGAGTTCATCAAAAATATTAATAAGCCCCTTAATGTTCCATTTTAGAATTTTCAAAACTTTATTTAATTGTAATGACATGGAAGCAGAGTGGTATTAAGGTTAAGTTGACATGTCAGCTTTTCCGTCGAAAATGTCACTATAAGAATTTTGATTTCGATTTTATGAGTTTTTCGGTTGCGCGCGAACTCCCAGCGTGGACTATTCCCATCGCGTAGAATCGATATAGCGTCTATTTATGTTGTAATGCTATCTAGTGCTTTTTTAATAGCAAAAGGGCTGATTTGTGAAATTCTTATGGTAGGATCAGTTGAAGAAATTACAACATATTTTTTGTCAATAGGAATGATATTACTGGTTTGCAACACCGGTTATTCCGAATTTTCAATTTTTTTCCCTGGGGGGATAAGTCCGCTAAATGATGAAATCTATTTGCGTTTTTATCTGGCGGCCCCTCGGCCATTATGCCCTATTGTTGTCTGTTATTTAGAAAATTATGAATTAACCACTCACTTGAAAAGATTAGGGAATTACTGAGAACAAAGACAGGGGTGATAAACTATGCTCTGTAGGGAGCATAGAAATGCCGAAACTCTCACCTCCAAGTGGTAATCCCCGGAACCGGTTCGACCGGCGAAGAAGAGTTTAAGGCAAAGACTATTATAACTCGGCGACGAGTTTTCTGATAGACGGTTTTAGGGGTTCACTGAGATATAGTATTTATATATCTTCTCAAAAGTTTTTACTATAAAGGAAAGTCTAACCAGACTCAATGGTAGCTGGTCTTGCATAGGAACTACGAATATAGTAATTGCTGAGAGCATGGAAATCTGGCCATGTGAGATTATACGCCCGATAACTATATATCTTGAAGAAAGATAGTCCGGAATTGGCTAACCGTGACTATATGGTTAAGTCTAAAGGCAAGAGTGGCGTATTGCATTTGTAAAACAAAGGGCAAAGTAAGGCTAAAGGATTTGTAGACTAATTTTAAGCACCACGGGGGTCAGGAGCCCGCTCATGGGGGTTGATTTGATGTACCAAGAAAGTGCGCTAGAAGGTACATCATTCAATCCTTGTGAGCCCTGACTGCTTGGGTACGGCTTTTCGGGGAGTATCGTGGCGGCTGTGGTTTTCACCATTCCATATCCATTAGAATAAATCCGGGGTGATGATAGGCCTCACCACATACCAGAGTGGCGGTTCATATGGCCATACACGATGAACCATCTGCGCACCTCGGGGTAAGAAAGGCCCCCTTATTAGGGGATTGTCTCTTCCCCCGGGGGTGATCACTCAACTTAATTGAGTGCCTATGGTTGTAGGCAACCCGTCTGATTAAGGCATCAAGCCAGGTGCAGACGTTAAACTCTCAGAGCGATCTGAAGATGATGACAATTGTTTTCAATATCATATTTTTATTTTTCTTTTTTTTTTGAATTTTTTTTATTAGATTTAGAGGAAAGAAAAGCAAATATGATATCTGCGATAATCATTTTTTGCAAAAACCATGAAAACACGCGAACTAAGTACACAAAAACACCGAAAACAGTTAAAAAATCGCAGAGGAAAAACAAAACATGCACTACTCAGAACACAAGCCGACCCGTATGCAAAGTTACTTTAACAATAGTCGAAAGTAAAAATAT